ATACAATTATTATTAAATTAAATATATTTTAATCAAATTTCTGTATAAATATATTATCAAGAGAATTAACTCTAGATTTAGAAAGAATTATGATATAAATAAACTTGAAGTTTAGGATATAATATAGTGTTGTTATTATAAAAATTGTATAAATATCGCAATAATTTTGAAATAAATGTCATAAATGAATTTATATATTAACATTTGTGTTGTTTGTTATAAATATTAATTCTGTTTAGTTCTTTATGTATTTATTATTATTAAATCATTGTTTATAATAACATATAAATATTTAAAAGATAAAATGGATAATAAAAATACTCAAGATTGTTTAGATGAAAAATTAAATGGTGAAAAGATTGATAATAAACTTGTTAAAAATAATAATAACAAGTATAAAGTAGTAAAACAATGGGATAAATATGTGTACACTTTTTGTATTCTCCTAAATTACTTGAATTATGTAAATATTATATATCCATTAACTAATACATAACAATTTTTAAAAATAAATTTTACCTGTTCAGGGACTAATCTTATGTATGAGCCCACCTGCTGCGGTGGACCTAAAATTTATATTTGACATACCCTGGGTGTATTATTCATACTCATCAATATTTGGAGGCATTGGATACTTTGTGGGTGCTTTAAGTAAGTAGTTTATTTTTTATTCAATAAAAAGTACAATTAATTAAAAACTACCTTGCAGGTGGATTCCTATTCAAGTACATAAACAGGCAACTAATGCTTATTATAATGACCACTTGTTTGGCAGTATTTGCGGCACTGGTACCCTTATGTCCGAATATATGGGTATATTGTGCATGCTCATTCTTGTACCAAATGGGTGGGGGCTCGTGGGACAGTAGTAACGCCGTGTGGGCTATCGAGATGTGGGGCGACAAGAGTCCACCGGTGCTCATGTTATCGCAAATGCTGTACGGGTTGGGAGCTATTTTAGGCCCAGTGCTGGTCAGACCATATCTCACCGGAGATCTTAGCAAAGGAATCACATCAACAACGCTATCACCAACTAATACCACGAGTTCACCATTTGATATCATCAGTACTACACCTCATGTGGACATTAATGATACCGTTGACAGACGGGCCAAACTACTGACCCCTTTCATGATTGCCGGTGCTATGTGTATGACAGGTAGACCAGAATATTCTTGAAAACTATAATCATTTGCAATAAAATTTAACATTTATTTTATTTTTCAGGACCTGTCATAATGTTAATAATGTTTGTGTTCAAGCGATATAAAGCACCGGTAGAGCAATCACCTACAGTTAAACCAATTGACTGTAAACCTGAAACTATTGATGACTTAAAGTCAGACACGAATCCAAGTCCCCGACAACTATCACCCAAAACCAGAATCTTGTTAATTGTATTAATATCTATGAGTTTGACCTGTTATTCAGCGCTCGAGGTCTGTTACCTGGCTAACAGTTCAACGTTTTTTCAATTTATGCCAAACCACATACCGGCCCAAACAGCCGACGATTTATTCATAGCGGCCACCACTACCTACACTGTGGGTCGACTCATCTCCGCATACATCTCCAGTAAACTAAAACCGGAAACTATTTTGAGCTATCATTTAGTTATAATTAGCATATCATTGGCAATGTTATGGTTCGCACAAAATTCAATGACAATGATATGGATTAGCAATTCATTGATAGGTAAATAACTAATATTGTACATTTTAATAATTAGTAATTCCTTTAAGTTATATAGATATATAAAATTACTTACTTTATAATGAGAAAGTTGTCGATTATTATTATGTATTGTAGGCTATGGGTTCAGTGCCATGTGGACAGGCTATTGGGTATTAGCCGAGAGATGTATAAAACTGAATAACAGGATATCATCGATATTCTCGATGTCTGCGATTGTGTTTGGATTGGTCACCCCTTTTGTCATCGGAAACCTCATTGAACAACAGCCACAAGTCTTCCTGCACCTGGAGTTTGCATACTTAGGATTAACTCTATTTTTATTTGTAATCTTGTTTTTCACAATTAAGAGATCACAGAAAATACCGGATTCAATTAAAGTTTAATATATTTACTTTATAACATATGTTTTTAAAAAAGCTAATGTGTTTTGTAAATGTTATACTGTAATATAAATCGTCATTGTGTTGTTTGTTATAAATATTAATTCTGTTTAGTTCTTTATGTATTTATTATTATTAAATCATTGTTTATAATAACATATAAATATTTAAAAGATAAAATGGATAATAAAAATACTCAAGATTGTTTTGATGAAAAATTAAATGGTGAAAAGATTGATAATAAACTTGTTAAAAAAAATAATAACAAGTATAAAGTAGTAAAACAATGGGATAAATATGTGTACACTTTTTGTATTCTCCTAAATTACTTGAATTATGTAAATATTATATATCAATAATATATGTATATTAATAATGTATATTATATTAATAATACATAACAATTTTTAAAAATAAATTTTACTTATTCAGGGACTAATTTTATGTATGAGCCCACCTGCTGGGGTGGATCTAAAATTTATTTTTGACATACCTTGGGTGTATTATTCATACTCATCAATATTTAGTGGCATTGGATACTTAGTGGGTGCTTTAAGTAAGTAGTTTATTTTTTATTTTATAAAAAAGTAAAATTAATTTAAAACTACCTTGCAGGTGGATTCCTATTCAAGTACATAAACAGGCAACTAATGCTCATTGTAATGACCACTTGTTTAGCAGTATTTGCGGCACTGGTACCCTTATGTCCCAATATATGGGTATATTGTGCATGCTTATTCTTGTACCAAATGGGTGGGGGCTCGTGGGACAGTAGTAACGCCGTGTGGGCTATCGAGATGTGGGGCGACAAGAGTCCACCGGTGCTCATGTTATCGCAAATGCTGTACGGATTGGGAGCTATTTTAGGCCCAGTGCTGGTCAGACCATATCTCACCGGAGATCTTAACAAAGTGATCACATCATCAACGCTATCACCAACTGATACCACGAGTACACCATTTGATATCATCAGTACTACACCTCATGTGGACATTAATGACACCGTTGACAGACGGGCCAAACTACTGACCCCTTTCTTGATTGCCGGTGCTATGTGTATGACAGGTAGACCAGAATATTCTTGAAAACTATAATCATTTTACAATAAAATTTAACATTTATTTTATTTTTCAGGACCTGTCTTAATGTTAATAATGTTTGTGTTCAAGCGATATAAAGCACCGGTAGAGCAATCACCTACAACTAAACCAATTGACTCTAAACATGAAACTATTGATGACTTAAAGTCAGACACGAATCCAAGTCCACAACCTCGACAACTATCACCCAAAACCAGAATCTTGTTAATTGTATTAATATCTATGAGTTTGACCTGTTATTCAGCGCTCGAGATCTGTTACCTGGCTAACAGTTCAACGTTTTTTCAATTTATGCCAAACCACATACCGGCCCAAACAGCCGACGATTTATTCATAGCGGCCACCACTACCTACACTGTGGGTCGACTCATCTCCGCATACATCTCCAGTAAACTAAAACCGGAAACTATTTTGAGCTATCATTTAGTCATAATTAGCATATCATTGGCAATGTTATGGTTCGCACAAAATTCAATGACAATGATATGGATTAGCAATTCATTAATAGGTGAATAACTAATATTGTACATTTTAATAACTAGTAATTCCTTTAAGTTACCAGTATATATAAAATTACTTACTTTATAATGGAAATGTTCTTGATTAATATTATGTATTGTAGGCTATGGGTTCAGTGCCATGTGGACAGGCTATTGGGTATTAGCCGAGAGATGTATAAAACTGAATAACAGGATATCATCCATATTCTCGATGTCTGCGATGGTGTTTGGATTTGTCACCCCTTTTGTCATCGGAACCCTCATTGAACAACAGCCACAAGTCTTCCTGCACCTGGAGTTTGCATACTTAGGATTAACTCTATTTTTATTTGTAATCTTGTTTTTCACAATTAAGAGATCACAGAAAATACCGGATTCAATTAAAGTTTAATATATTTACTTTATAACATATGTTTTTAAAAAAGGTAATGTGTTTTGTAAATGTTATACTGTAATATAAATCGTCATTTAATTTATTTGTACATATTCATGAAATACAAATATAATATAAATTAATATTTGCAGTAGTTTGTTTACTTTATGAAAAGGTGCAAAGTTGTAACATAATTATAATATCCTGTTCTGATTAACAATTAACTTATTTGTATTATATTATGTAAAAGTGACACTGGGTGCTTTAGGGACTTATTGACATGTCAGATTGATGACATTTACAAATATTTATATATTGCTATCGTAGTACTATTTTTTATCTAATTTGGAAATCCACCTAACTAGTAAAGTCTGCTTTCAAATGTGCCAGATAACATATCGTAGATTAGACTGACATTAACCAACCAACCGGTCATATAAAAAGAAAGGCTTAACCGGTTATGAAATGTTAAACATTTATCTAGATCACCACACTTGATTACGCTAATTATTTGCACCCTATGCAACTTAAAAACTCGTTACAAAATTATTTAAGTTTCAATTAAACTTTTACTTGTGTGACATTTTTAATATTACATATGATATAAAGTTTCTTAAATAATTACATTTTAATATTTAAAAATCTACTTGATATGTGCTAAATTTTTATTTTTGATTAATAGTAATCATCTATTAAATTATTTGTGATTTTAATAATATATTATAATGGAAAATAAAGTTTCTAAAAACTCTATAACTTTTGATCATACAAATAATGAAATGTTTAAATCCAATGAAAACCCCAATACTAAAGGATTTCTAAAAGATTTGACCACAAATTGGGATAAATATGTTTACACATTGTGCTTTTTTAAAATTTATTTTAGTTGTGTAAGTATCATATCGTTAATTTTATCATTCAAATTAACTTTTAATTATTTCCATTTTTATAATTAGGGAATACTCTTAGGTATATATCCACCGACTTTAGTGGACATGAAATTTATATTTAAAACACCCATGTCATATATATCGTATTCGTTAACGTTAATAGCACTTGGATATATAGTGGGTTCCCTCAGTAAGTATTTAGAAACTACAATACTTATACTGTATATTAAAACATCTTTATTAAATTATAAAATTATAGGTGGATTCCTATACAAATACATCAACAGACAACTGACCCTCACTATAATGACCTTTCAATTGGCTATATTTGGTGGTTTAGCACCATTTTGTCCAAATTTATGGCTCCTGTATCTCAGTGTATTCCTATGCATGATGGGCGGCGGGGTATTTGACAGCAGTGTTGCCGTTTGGATCATTGAGATGTGGGGCAAACATAACCCACCAATACTACAGTTATCGGGACTTTTGTATGGATTGGGATCTATTTGTGGTCCAATTTTGGTTAAACCATATTTAACGGGAGATCTGAATATTACAGAAACAACAACTGATTTATCCAATAATACTTACGATTCAATCCCTTATGAAGACATCAATAACTCAGTCGATAGACGCGCTAAACTTCAAATCCCTTTCATGATTGCTGGCTTAGTTAGCTTAATAGGTATACAATAATTAAAGTTATAATTATGTAGTAAATTAATTTTTTGTTAATTTATTGTAATAAATGTTTTGTCCTAAGCTATTTAGTTACGGTAATATACAATTATTGAAATTGATATAAAAATATAAGACATGTGCTATAATCAGTGCAATTTATAACATAACATGAAGTGCATAATTTATCAAACTAGCTGTCAATTATAGAAAATCTGGGAATTAAAGTTACCAATTTATCAAATAAACACACAATATTTTAACTTATAAATCAATTTCATAACTAATTATCTATTAATTATTTACAGGACCTGTCATAATGTTACTCATGTTTGTGTTCAAGAGGTACAAAGTGCCAGAAACTAAACTTCAAAACACAGAATCCTTTGACATCAAGCAAAATGACAAAACTACAAGTCCTGAGTCGATAGAGTGTTCACCAAAAACAAAAATCCTATTCACTGTATTGATATCAATGAGTCTATGTTTTTATACGGGAATGGAAATGAACTATTTTGGCAACAGCTCCACATACCACCAGTTCCTACCTCCGATACACGGATAGGTAGGAACTGGTGGTAAGTGGAGCTGTTGCCAAAATAGTTCATTTCCATTCCCGTATAAAAACAAAAAGTCATTGATATCAATATAATAAACAGTATTTTTGTTTTTGATAGGGATTCAGTCGGCTGAGGACTTGTAGTTTTGTCATTTTGTTTGGTGTCAAAGGATTCTGTGTTTTGAAGTCTAGTTTCTGGCACTTTGTACCTCTTGAACACAAACATGATTAACATTATGACGGGTCCTGTAAATAGTTAATAGATAATTAGTTTTGAAATATATAATAATACAACTATGTATATAATTATATTTTTAAATATATTTATAATATATATTTATAAATATATTTATGTGATCCCTGTAATTTTAAATCCCAGATTTGGTAGAGTTGATAGCTAATTTGATAAGACTTATATTACGCGCTTTATGTTATGAAATGCACTGATAATATGCACATGGCTTATTATACAATAATTTGTTAGATCAATTAATATAGATTAAGATTTAATATAAAAATTATAAGAAACTGAAACGACATATTAAAACATTATAAAAAAATTATAATCAACATAATGACAAAAACCTAATTATTAAAAATAACAATATAATAAAGGATTCTATACAGTAGATTTTATATTATTTTACATTTTAAATTTATTTTAAATTAATTTAAATTATTCATAAATTTATATTATTTTGAAATATTATTTTGTTAAATACCTATCAAACCAACACAACCGGCAATCATGAAAGGGGTTTGAAGTTTAGCGCGTCTATCGACTGAGTTATTGATGTCTTCATAATGAGTTAAATTGTGAATATTATTGGTATTATTGGTATAATTGGATAATTGAGGTAAAGTGTCGGTAATATTCAGATCTCCCGTTAAATATGGTTTGACTAAAATTGGTCCACAAATGGATCCCAATCCGAACAAAAGGCCCGATAGTTGTAGTATTGGTGGGCTATGTTTGCCCCACATCTCAATCACCCAAACGTAAACACTGCTATCAAATACCCCGCCGCCCATTATGGATAGGAATACACTGAGATACAGGAGCCATATATTGGGACAAAATGGTGCTAAACCACCAAATATAGTCAATTGAAAGGTCATTATAGTGAGGGTCAGTTGTCTGTTGATGTATTTGTATAGGAATCCACCTGAAATTTAAATTTCGCTTTAAATGTGAATTAAAAAACTGAATCATACTTATCCTTTTACTCGTTCATTAGTAAATTAATAAATGTTTTAAATTCATTATTTGTGTTTAAGACTCACTGAAAGCACCCGCCATATTTCCAAGTGCTGTCAACGTTAACGAGTATAATATATATGACATGGGTACGTTAAATATAAATTTCATATCCACTAAAGTCGGTGGATATATACTTAAGAATATTCCCTAATCGTAATAAGTAACATAAAATTATTGTAATAGCTATTTGATATATGAAATATTTTTAGTTATGAATACTTACACAACTGAAGTATATTTTGTAAAAGCAAAAGGTTAAAACATATTTATCCCAATTTGTTGTAAAGTTTTTTAGAAATTTATTTGTGTTTTCAGTAGATTTAAACTTTTCATTATCCATGTGGTCAACAGTTATAGAATTTTTAGATACTTTATTGTCCATTATAAATTATAATTTTAAAAACTCAAATATTTTAATAAATAATAACTATACATCACAAATAAAAATTTTGTTCATATCAAATAATTTAAAAGCATTGAATGAAATTTTATTTACATTTAACACTTAAATCATTTTGTAACTAGCTTTGATTGCACAGGATGCAAATGATTAGTGTTATTAAATGTGTTTATGCTATACAAATGTACCAGTATAAATGTATAAATGTTTGATATTACATTAACTGTCAAGCCTTCCCTTTTATACAAGTGTTAGATAATGTTTGTTTAATTTATGATACGTTATCTGGGGCACTTTTGGATGAAGATATTGATAGATAATTTTTATTCATATATAAATACTAAGTTTAGTTTATAGAGTTAATATTAATATATTTAATTGTAAACTTAATGTTTTAAATGATCAAAGTAAACAATTTATTAAATAATGACAATTGAGTGCTTATACAGTAATTTATAAATCATTTAGACATTATGTTATTAATAAAAACAAGCGTTTTATTAATATATTTCGGAATTTATTTTTTTTATAGATATTTAAAAATATTTTCTAAAATGGTGTTAAAATTACAATAATTAAAAATTATTATCTATTATATTGAGATAAAATAAAAATAGTAATAAATATATAAGTTTAAGAATTACTTATTTGAGATTCTCGTGAAATTCTTTTGGTTCGCCTAATAGTGAACAAAATGACTGCAAATAAAACGAGAGAAATGCCTAAAAATATGAACTCAACGTTTAGTAAGACTTGTGGCGATTCCTCGATTAGGGATCCGATCACAAAGGGAGACAAAAACCATATGAGTCCGGCTGACAGGGCAAAGATGGCTGTTATCCTGTTATTGAGTTTTATATAGTTTTCTCCTATAGTAAGACTTGTGGCGATTCCTCGATTAGGGATCCGATCACAAAGGGAGACAAAAACCATATGAGTCCGGCTGACAGGGCAAAGATGGCTGTTATCCTGTTATTGAGTTTTATATAGTTTTCTCCTAAAATCCAATACGAGGTCCACATCGAAGAAAATCCAAATCCTATTTATGTAGATATAATGTGACGTAAAATAATTAATCTTTGTTAATTAAAATAAACCTCTTGCTAGACAATATTCTAATATTAATAATAGTTGCTAATAATAGTTCTGTATTTGATGGTTAACTGGCTACTTATTTGTTTATATTATAATCTCTTTTTGTTTATTATTTTATAAAGTGAGTTACTATTGCATTAATTTAATTTAATTGAATCTATTATGTTACCTATCAATGCATTGCCTATCCATATGAATGTCATAGAATGTTGTCCAAAATGTAAAATGCCCAGGGATATTATGTTTATGATTAGATGATATGATAGCATAACTTCTGGACTTATTTTACTGGATATATACGCCGATAACAGTCGGCCCGCAGCATAGGTTGTGGTCATTAAAGTCATCAAATCGGCCGCTGTTTGTGCCGATACACGGATTCCATCCTTGACCACCATACACCTCGACAACGGTTTTATCAAGTAAAGGTAAGGGCATATTTTTGTATCTGAGTAACTATAGTTATGTCACTTATCCTAAAAACAAAAACCACTTGTGAGATAGCTGAGAGGACTTGTAGTTTTGTCATTTTGTTTGATGTCAAGGGATTCTGTGTTTTGAAGTCTAGTTTCTGGCACTTTGTACCTCTTGAACACAAACATGAGTAACATTATGACAGGTCCTGTAAATAGTTAATAGATAATTAGTTATGAAATTGATTTATAAGTTAGAATATTGTGTGTTTATTTGATAAATTGGTAACTTTAATTCCCAGATTTTCTATAATTGACAGCTAGTTTGATAAATTATGCACTTTATGTTATGTTATAAATTGCACTGATTATACCACATGTCTTATATTTTTATATCAATTTCAATAATTGTATATTACCGTAACTAAATAACTTAGGACAAAACATTTATTACAATAAATTATCAAAAAGTAATTTACTACATAATTATAACTTTAATTATTGCATACCTATTAAGCTAACTAAGCCAGCAATCATGAAAGGGATTTGAAGTTTAGCGCGTCTATCGACTGAGTTATTGATGTCTTCATAAGGGATCAAATTGTAAGTATTATTGGATAAATCAGTTGTTGTTTCGGTAATATTCAGATCTCCCGTTAAATATGGTTTAACCAAAATTGGACCACAAATAGATCCCAATCCATACAAAAGTCCCGATAACTGTAGTATTGGTGGGTTTTGTTTGCCCCACATCTCAATGATCCAAACGGCAACACTGCTATCAAATACCCCGCCGCCCATCATGCATAGGAATACACTGAGATACAGGAGCCATAAATTTGGACAAAATGGTGCTAAACCACCAAATATAGCCAATTGAAAGGTCATTATAGTGAGGGTCAGTTGTCNAATATTGTCTAGCAAGAGGTTTATTTTAATTAACAAAGATTAATTATTTTACGTCACATTATATCTACATAAATAGGATTTGGATTTTCTTCGATGTGGACCTCGTATTGGATTTTAGGAGAAAACTATATAAAACTCAATAACAGGATAACAGCCATCTTTGCCCTGTCAGCCGGACTCATATGGTTTTTGTCTCCCTTTGTGATCGGATCCCTAATCGAGGAATCGCCACAAGTCTTACTGAACGTTGAGTTCATATTTTTAGGCATTTCTCTCGTTTTATTTGCAATCATTTTGTTCACTATTAGGCGAACCAAAAGAATTTCACGAGAATCTCAAATAAGTAATTCTTAAACTTATATATTTATTACTATTTTTATTTTATCTCAATATAATAGATAATAATTTTTAATTCTTGTAATTTTAACACCATTTTAGAAAATATTTTTAAATATCTATAAAAAATAAATTCCGAAATATATTAATAAAACGCTTGTTTTCTTATTAATAACATAATATCTAAATGATTTATAAATTACTGTATAAGCACTCAATTGTCATTATTTAATAAATTGTTTACTTTGATCATTTAAAACATTAAGTTTACAATTAAATATATTAATATTAACTCTATAAACTAAACTT